ATCAGCTTAAGGACTTTTTGGGCTGAGACTATGGAGTTTTCTAAATATACAATCATGTCATCTGCAAACAGGGACAATTTGACTTCCTCTTTTCCTAATTGAATACCTTTTATTTCTTTCTCTTGCCTGATTGCCCTGGCCAGAACTTCCAACACAATGCTGAATAGGAGTGGTGAGAGAAGGCATCCCTGTCTTGTGCCAGTTTTCAAAGGGAATGCTTCCAGTTTTTGCCCATTCAGTATGACATTGGCTGTGGGTTTGTCATAAATAGCTCTTATCATTTTGAGATACGTCCCATCAATATCTAGTTTATTGAGAACTTTTAGCATGAAGGGCTGTTGAATTCTGTCAAAGGCCTTTTCTGCATCTATTGAGATAATCATGTGGTTTTTGCCTTTGGTTCTGTTTATATGATGGATTACATTTATTGGTTTGCATATGTTGAACCAGCTTTGCATCCCTGGGATGAAGCCAACTTGATCGTGGTGGATAAGCTTTTTGATGTGCTGCTGGATTCAGTTTGCCAGTATTTTATTGAGGATCACGCTGGCCTCATAAAATGAATTAGGGAGGATTCCCTCTTTTTCTACTGATTGGAATAGTTTCAGAAGGAATGGTACCAGCTCATTTTTGTACCTCTGTTAGAATTCGGCTGTGAATCCATCTGGTCCTGGACTTTTTTTGTTTGGTAGGCTATTAATTATTGCCTCAATTTCAGAACCTATTATTGGTCTATTCAGGGATTCAAATTCTTCCTGGTTTAGTCTTGGGAGGGTGTATGTGTCCAGGAATTTTTCCATTTCTTTTAGATTTTCTAGTTTATTTGCATAGATGTGTTTATAGTATTCTCTGATGGTAGTTTGTATTTCTATGGGATCGGTGGTAATATCCCCTTTATCATTTTTTATTGTGTCTATTTGATTATTCTCTCTTTTCTTCTTTATTAGTCTTGCTAGCAGTCTATCAATTTTGTTGATCTTTTCAAAAACCAGCTCCTGGATTCATTGATTTTTTTGAAGGGTTTTTTTGTGTCTCTATCTCCTTAAGTTCTGCTCTGATCTTAGTTATTTCTTGCCTTCTGCTAGCTTTTGAATGTGTTTGCTCTTGCTTCTCTAGTTCTTTTAATTGTGATGTTAGGGTGTCAATTTTAGATCTTTCCTGCTTTCTCTTGTGGGCATGTAGTGCCATAAATTTCCCTGGACACCACTGCTTTAAATAAATACCAGAGATTCTGGTATGTTGTGTCTTTGTTCTCATTGGTTTCAAGGAACATTTTTATTTCTGCCTTCATTTTATTATGTACCCAGTAGTCATTCAGGAGTTGGTTGTTCAGTTTCCATATAGTTGGGTGGTTTTGAGTGAGTTTCTTAGTCCTGATTTCTAGTTTGATTGCACTGTGGTCTGAGAGACAGTTTGTTATAATTTCTGTTCTTTTACATTTGCTGAGGATTGTTTTACTTCCAACTATGTGGTCAATTTTGGAATAAGTGCAATGTGGTTCTGAGAAGAATGTATACTCTGTTGACTTGGGGTGGAGAGTTCTATAGATGTCTATTAGGTCCACTTAGTGCAGAGCTGAGTTCAATTCCTGGATATTCTTGTTAACTTTCTGTCTTGTTGATCTGTCTAATGTTGACAGTGGGATGTTAAAGTCTCCCATTATTATTGTGTGGGAGTCTAAGTCTCTTTGTTGGTCTCTAAGGACTTGCTTTATGAATCTGGGTGCTCCTTTATTGGGTGCATATGTATTTAGGATAGTTAGCTCTTCTTGTTGAATTGATCTCCTTACCATTACGTAATGGCCTTCGTTGTCTTTTTTGATCTTTGTTGGTTTAAAGTCTGTTTTGTCAGAGACTAGGATTGCAACCCCTGCTTTTTTTGTTTGTTTGTTTTCCATTTGCTTGGTAGAGCTTCCTCCATCCCTTTATTTTGAGCCTATGTGTATCTCTGCACGTGAGACGGGTCTCCTGGATACTGCACACTGATGGGTCTTGACTTTTTATCCAGTTTGCCAGTCTGTGTCTTTTAATTGGAGCATTTAGCCCATTTACATTTAAGGTTAATATTTTTATGTGTGAATTTGATCCTGTCTTTATGATGTTAGCTGATTATTTTGCTTGTTAGTTGATGCAGTTTCTTCCTAGCATCAATAGTCTTTACAATTTGGCATGTTTTTGCAGTGGCTGGTACCGGTTGTTCTTTTCCATGTTTACTGCTTCCTTCAGGAGCTCTTGTAGGGCAGGCCTGGTGGTGACAAAATCTCTCAGCATTTGCTTGTCTGTAGAGGATCTTATTTCTCCTTCACTTATGAAGCTTAGTTTGGCTGGATATGAAATTCTGCGTTGAAAATTATTTTCTTTAAGAATGTTGAATATTGGTCCCCAATCTCTTCTGGCTTGTAGAATTTCTGCTGAGAGATCCGCTGTTAGTCTGATGTTCTACCCTTTGTGTGTAACCCAACCTTTCTCTCTGGCTGCCCTTAATATTTTTTCCTTCATTTCAACTTTGGTGAATCTAACAATTATGTGTCTTGGAGTTGCTCTTCTCGAGGAGTATCTTTGTGGTGTTCTCTGTATTTCCTGAATTTGAATGTTGGCCTGTCTTGCTAGGTTGGGGAAGTTCCCCTGGATACTATCCTGAAGAGTGTTTTCCACCTTGGTTCCATTCTCCCCATCATTTTCAGGTACACCAATCAGATGTAGATTTGGTCTTTTCACATAGTCCCCTATTTCTTGGTGGCTTTGTTCATTCATTTTTACTCTTTTTCCTCTAAACTTCTCTTCTTGCTCCTTTTCATTCATTTGATCTTCAATCACTGATACTGTTTCTTCCACTTGATCGAATTGACTACTGAAGCTTGTGCATGCATCACGTAGTTCTCGTGCCATGGTTTTCAGCTCCATCAGGTCATTTAAGGTCTTCTCTACACTGTTTATTCTAGTTAGCCATTCGTCTAATCTTTTTTCAAGGTTTTTAGCTTCTTTGCGATGGGTTTGAACATCCTCCTTTAGCTCAGAGAAGTTTGTTATTACTGATCGTCTGAAGCCTTCTTCTCTCAACTCATCAAAGTCATTCTCCATCCAGCTTTGTTCCGTTTCTGACAAGGAGTTGCATTCCTTTGGAGGAGAAGAGGCACTCTGATTAGAATTTTCAGCTTTTCTGCCCCAGTTTCTCCTCATCTTTGCAGTTTTATCTACCTTTGATCTTTGATGATGGTGACATACAGATGGGGTTTTGGTGTGGATGTCCTTTCTGTTTGTTAGTTTTCCTTCTAACAGTCAGGACCCTGAGCTGCAGGTCTCTTGGAGTTTGCTGGAGGTCCACTCCAGACCTTGTTTGCCTGGTTATCACCAGCAGACGCTGCAGAACAGCAGCTATTGCAGAACGACAAATGTTGCTGCCTCATCCTTCCCCTGGAAGCTTCCTCTCAGAGGGGCACCTGGCTATATGAGGTGTCAGTCGGCCCCTACTGGGAGGTGTCTCCCAGTTAGGCTACTCGAGGGTCAGGGACCCACTAAGGAGGCAGTCTGTCCATTCTCAGATCTCAAACTCCATGCTGGGAGAACCACTACTCTCTTCAAAGCTGTCAGACAGGGATGTTTAAGTCTGCATAAGTTTCTGCTGCCTTTTGTTCAGCTATGCCCTGCCCCCAGAGGTGGAGTCTACAGAGGCAGGCAGGCCTCATTGAGCTGCAGCCTCCTTGAGCTCCACCCAGTTCGAGCTTCCGGGCAGATTTGTTTACCTACTCAAGCCTCGGCAATGGTGGACGCCCCTCCCCCAGCCTCACTGCCACCTTGCCGTTCCATCTCAGACTGCTGTGCTAGTGGTAAGCAAGGCTCTGTGGGCATGGGACCCTCTGAACCAGGCATGGGATATGACTTCCTGGTGTGCCATTTGCTAAGACTGTTGGAAAAGTGCAGTATTAGGGTGGGAGTGTCCCAATTTTCCAGGAACCATCTGTCATGGATTCCCTTGGCTACGATTCCTGGGTGAGGCGATGCCCTGCCCTGCTTCAGCTCACACTCCGTGGACTGCACTCACTGTCCAACAAGCCCCAGTGAGATGAACCTGGCTCTTCAGTTGGAAATGCAGATATCACCCATCTTCTGAATCGCTCACGCTGGGAGTTATAGACTGGAGCTGTTCCTATTCGGCCATCTTGGAACCAGAAACAGCCCACACTGCACCAGTTTTAAACATGAAACTCACTTTACAGGAAATGAAGTATGGGAATGGGCTCATGGTAATGGATTTCACTAGTCTTGTGATGTTCCTCAACATCCTGAAGTGGCTGGCTCAATAGAACAGTGGAGTGATCTTTAAAACCTGAGTTGTAGTTCTAGCTTTGTGGCAGTGCCTTGAGGGGCTTGGCTGACAATCTCAGAGGTGGCAATGCTGGATCCCAGCATCAAGTATATGGAACTATTTCTCCCATAGCCACATCTATGTCTTCAAGAATGAAAGAGCCAAGATGCGGGCCTCCTCTCACTATTACTCTTGGGTATCTAGTAGCAAAATTTTTCTTTTTGTGCTCAAGAAGCAAACTTTGCTCTCAAGAAGCAAACTTTTGGCTCTGCTGGACTAGAGGTCTTAGTTACAAATTGAGAAATTTTTTCAACGGGGGAATCAAAATGATTCCATTGAAATGAAAATTGTGTCTGACAGCTGACCACTTTGAACTCTTCATTCCTCTCAACCAAGAGACAAAGTAGGGATTCTGTTACTGGCTTGGGTGATGGAAACTGAAAAAAAAAAGGAGATCAGGTTCCTACTACACCAGGGGCTAAGTAAAAGTAAGTCTGATATGTCTAGAGAGCTTCTTAGTCCTCCCGTGTTTGCAATTAGAGTTAATGGAAAATCACAGCAACCCCATCCAGGCAGGACATCTAATGGTTCAGACTCTTCCATAATGAAGGTTTGAGCCATCCTGCCAGGCCAAGCTCCATGAACCAACTGACATGCTATCTTAGGGCAAAGGGAATGTGAAATGGGTAGTGAAAGAAGGCTTTAACACCAGTTTCAGCAATGTGAGCTGCTGCAGAAACCACGACTGTAATAGTGTTTACTTAATGGGTTAATAATATCTACCAGCATAGGTGGGAATACAAAACAACCAAAAAACAAGTTATTCTTTCAAATGAAATGCTTAGGGAAAAAGAACAACTTTTACTAACAGACATTTCTTAGCCTCTTGAAGGCCATTTGATTCAGTAACATATGCCAGGAGACTTCAGCAATATCCTGCTCCATTGTAGAAAACAGCAATCTGATCCTTTTCTCTCCTCAATCATTAATAAGATTATGCATTTGAGTCGTCATAATCCTCCATGGACAAGTACTCCCAAATCATATGCTCCAGTTTCTTCTCAAGGAGCTGAACGAAGTCTCGGCTCATACATCTGAAAAGACAGAGAAATGCCATTAACTACAAGATAGCCAAAGAACCTATGCTGTAGGAAGCACTGTGAAGGATAGAAAGATGAAGTTACAGTCAGCATGGAAATAGAAATTCACCTGCAAGGTAAGAGGTAGTCTAGCTGGCAATAACAAATGATGGCGAGGGTCTGGAGAAAAGGGAACCTTCATATACTGTTGGTGGGAATAAAAATTACTACAATAACTACGAAGAACAGTATGGAGGTTCCTCGAAAAACTAAAAATGGAGCTATCATATGGTTCAGCAATCCCACTGCTTGGTATATGCCCAAGAGAAAGGAAGTCAGGGTACCGAAGAGATATCTGCATTCCCATGTTTGTTGCAGCACCATTCACAGTAGCCAAGATTTGGAAGCAACCTAAGTGTCCACTAACAGATGAATGGATAAAGAAAATATGGTACACATACACTATAGAGTATTTTTCAGACATAAAAAAAGGATGAGATTCAGTCATTTGCAACAACATGGATGGAATCAAAGGTCATTATGTTAAGTGAAATAAGCCAGGCACAGAAAGACAAACTTTGTATTTTCTCACTTATTTCTGGGAGCAAAAATGTAAAACAACTGAACTAATGGAGATAGAGAGTAGAATGACGGTTACCAGAGGCTGGGAAGGTTAGTGGGGGTGGAGCGTGTGGGAAGTGGGGATGATTAATAGGTAGAAAAATAGAATAAATAAGATGTAGTATTTCATAGCCCAACAGAGTGACAATTGTCGGTAATAATTTAATTGTACATTTAAAAATAGTGAAGAGTATAATTGGATTGTCCGTAACACAAAGGATAAAAGCTTGAGGTGATAGATACCCCATTTACCTTGATGTGATTATTACACATTGTTGTCTGTATCACAATATCTCATATACCCCAGAAATATATGCATCTGCTATGTCCGTACAAAAATTTTTTAAAAAGAGGTAGTCTAGCAAATACAAAGAGTGTCAATCAAGGGACAATGCACACCTCAGACTATGGTGAGAATGGAGTCTCCATAGTCTTCGAAGAATGAGTTAGATTCAGATAACATTAGCCTAAGTAACTGTGGAGACAGCCGTAACTATGAGTGAGGACCAGGGTTTGAGAAACTCAAGGCAGGGGCTGTTCCCCCATGCTCACCCCCAGTACTCTATTGAGTCCAAGTGCTTAAAGAAATTGGACAGTTCCTATTTCTACCCACCTTGCTGCTTCCTTGATGATGGATTCAAAAAATAGTTTCTTGACTTCTATAGGTCCTTGCACTTCTTCAAGCAATTTGAAGATCTTTTCGTATTCTGAAGATGTTTTTTTAAAAAAAAAAAAAAAACCTTCAGTATTATCAAATATAAAGAATAGAAGTGAATCTATACCTCAGCAATCATGCTTCATAGGCTAAAATGTTTTAAATGCTTAAATCAAGATACTCGCACACACAAAAACTAAATAATAAAAAAGACACCTGCACATACGTATGAATGAAACTCTTTTAACCATAACCAAGTAAGAAAAGAAAAGCAAAAGGTGTACTATGCTTTAGTCAAAGAAAAGAGGAACCACCATAAACTATGGGCAAACTCAACTCTGGCAAAGAATGAGCCTCAACAGGTAACATGAATATCTTCTGAATCATAGAAAGAGAGACTTCCTATAGTTTTATGAAACAGATATTCTTATACTACTTACTTCGTCCAATGCTTTGGATTTCCCTCACTAATTGACGTTTTATATCAGCATTAATTTCTTCTTGGCTTTTGGGAATAGGGACTATTTCTCTGCATTTTAGGTCATCTCCAGAGAAATTGCTGGTAATGATTCCTCCCACAGGTGCATTGCTACCAGGTTTCTGCATCGGCCCATCTTTGCTGAAACCAGCGAAGTCATCAATCTGAGAATCCAACTGGCTTGGTAGAACACCATCTCCTGTCTTAAGCTCTAGTGAAACAGATTTTGACAAAAAGCCGTCAGTTGGTGTTTGACAATTTTCTTTCCCCTCCACATAGATATCATGAATGACAGATCTGGAAACCAAACTGAGAATCTGAGCTGTGAGAAATGTGTGTTTCATCACCCCTCTGGGTACATCTATGTGCTCCTCAGTTTCTAGGGAATTATTTCTTTCATAAATGGGAGGATATACCGGGGGAAATCTCAGACCTGATGAACTGAGGCCAGGACACATAATATAATAAAACCACCTCTTATTTTCTGGCCCTATGAATAGATATGGAAACCAAGTAAGATAGTACAACTCTAAAGCAACATTCACAGATCCCTGGCACTCATGGGATAGTTTCAGTTTGTTATGCTTTACAAGTTGAAAGCAGCAAGTCTCACTTGATATCACGATTTCTCAAATTCACGTACAAACCGCCAGGCTTTACTGAGCTGGAAGCCAGACAGCTTGGATACACCACAAGCAGCCTCCTCTCTACATCAAATATATTCTGAGAAAATAGAGGCGGCCATTACTGCTGAAAGTTCTATATGCACTCCATCACCAAAAATCCCTTTTAGTGTATGATTTTCCTCATCCTTCCTTTCTGTCTCAGAAAAGTGACTTTCTTTTCACTCCAGGTCTGACACCTCTCATTTATTCATCATCTGTGGCAGCCAGCATGCCAGTAGCTGGGGATCAGCAGTAAACAGCCCAGAGAACAACGTTCCCTGCCCTTGTGGAGCTCACATCCTCATGTGGGGCAGACAGTACCTGCACAATGAGCAAATGAAACAAACAGCGTTGGGCTGGTGGTAGGGAAGCAGTCCACAGGCCTGTGGGCAACAGCAGCAGAGGGAGCCCCAGGAGTTGCCGCTGGTTGGGCAGAGCCTTCTGTGGAGGTACCCTTGGGCAGGGCTTGAAGGAAGAAGCAGAGCTGCCTGTGCAGAGGCAGAGGGGGAGTTCCAGGTTGCTGTGAGGCCAAGGGTATGGGCGGGAGTGGGGATGGATCAGGCACTACGGGGTGAAGGACAGAAGCAGAGAGTCAGGAGATGGATGGGGCCTGTGTGAGGAGAGGGTGACGGAGGCCAGGCCATGTAGAACCTCGCAGACCAAAGCTGGTTCACAGTCGGTTCTGAGTGCTAAGGAGAGTGGAGGATGGGTTTTCAGGAATGACATGGCATGATGTGATTTACACGCCAACATGATGACCTGGCTGCCGGGTTGAAGCGTATGTGTTCGATGGGGACAATAATGGGAAATGTGGAGGTATCACAGGAGCTCAGTGATTGATCATGGCAGACTGGAACAGAAGGAGAGAGAGAGATGCTGGGGTTCAGAAATTTTTTACAGTATTTAGAGAAGAGAAGAAAAAGAAAGACAGAAAAAAAAGAATGACAGGGGTCGGATGCAGTGGCTCGTGCCTGTAATCCCAGCACTTTGGGAGGCTGAGGTGGGTAGATCACCTGAGGTGAGGAGTTCGAGACCAGCCTGGCTGATATGGCAAAACTCCATCTCTACTAAAATTACAAAAATTAGCTGGGTGCGGTGGCTAGTACTTGTAATCCCAGCTACTCGGGAGGCTGCAGCAGGAGAATCACTTGAACCCAGGAGACTGAGGTTTCAGTGAGCCGAGATCATGTCACTGGACTCCAGCTTGGCTGAGAAGAATGAAACTCCATCTCAAGAAAAAAATGATAGGGATTCACCAATACGGACAAGAAATTTAAAAATAAAATTGTGGAAAATGGAAATGCTAGAAGGTTTTCATGAAGAAGCGAGTGAACAACTGTCAAATGCTGCAGAGAAATTAATGGCAATGTCAGCTGAAACCGTTGACCTTGACAAGGACAGTTTCTCTGGAGGAGATGAGGCAGGAGGCTGACTGCACTGGATACAGCATGAAGAGGAGGTGAGGACAGGCTTACTTACTCTTTTCTTTGGACATGGCAGAGCCTGCAGTAAGGCTGTCTCCTGCTCCTTGTTTCCTTGCCAACAGGGCAATCCTCTGCCTTTTCTGATATGAAGGACTGTCACATTCCCTGGGACGTTTAAACATGGTTTCAGGATCTACAGCCACCTTCTCTGTTTTATCGGTCATTGTTTCCTGAAAAACATCAATTGAACATATTCCATTCATGACAAAAATCTAACAATCACAAAATGGCAAACAGTTTGCATATGTGTATACAACCAAGACTTTGAATCATTAATTTCACTTTTAATCATGAGCCAAGATTTACCAAGTCTCAACAAACACTCTGTTCTCAGGAAAAGAAACCTAATTTTATTGTACACTAAGTAAAAAAAATAAGAAAAATGGTACAAAAAAATCAATCAGAATGCCTGTGGAATAAGCAGCTGTCATCAACCAAAAATAGATGAAAATATTATTGCCTATTTGAAGATGTATAAGCCAGTCTGTATTAACCCTTATTAGGAAAAATAGATGTATAAAGCAATCTGTATTAACCCTTATTATACATTATATTTTAAACTACATATATTATACATTATATTATACATCATATATATTTAATACATAAGTATATATACTTATATATTCAAATGGATGTATAAACAAATCTGTATTAACCCTTATTAGGAAAAATTAGGACAAATAAAAGGATTGTAGAAGATTGATACAAAACTGATAACAACATCTGACAAGGACTTTAGAAGAAAGAAAAACTACAAGATCAGGCCAAAATACAAGCCAAGATCACCCCTGAACTTAGACACAAAAAATTCAAACTAAACGTGAGCAAGTAAAATGCAATAGTACTTAAAAAGGACATACATCAGCCATGGTGGAGTATATTGCAGAAAGGCAACACTGATTTAACATTTGAAAATCAATAAATGTAATGCACCGTATTAACAACAACAAGTAAACGGAAACACCACATGATTATTTTCATACATGGGTCAATGTTTAAAGTCCATTCGTGATAAAAAACTATCACCAACTTAGAAAAAAGGGCAACTTTCCTATTCTGGTTAGCATATGTACAAAAAAATAGTAAATGCGATACTTCATAGTGACGTATCAGTATTTTCTCCCTGAGTTTGAAAACAAGACAAAGATGTCCACTATCCATTCAACAATTTACTGGAGGTTCTAAAAAGTGCCATAGCATCAGGAAAATATAATATGTTTAAAATTTGGAAAGAAGTAACCTCGCAAACCAAAGCTGGTTCACAGTTGGTTCTGAGTGCTTAGGAGACTTGAGGATGGGTTTTCAGGAGCGACATGGCATGTTGTGATTTACATGCCATTCACAGATGACATTGTTCTGTACATAATGCAGAAGAATAAAATCATTATGGTTAATAAGCAAATTTAGTCAACATACTAGATCTAATAAAAACCAATGGCATTTCTGTATAATTAATAGCAACAAATAATTAGAATATGAGATTTCAAATGTCATTAAAAACAGTACCAAAATCATCAAATATTTAGGAATAAATCTAATCAAGATGTGCTAGAGTACTACACAAAAATTATAAAACATCACTCAGAGAAATTCAAGACTGCAGTAAATGGAGAAAAATATTCTTTCGATGTGTTGGAAGACATCTTTTTTTTTTTTTTTTCTTTTTTTGGAGACGGAGCCTTGCTCTGTCACCCAGGCTGGAGTGGAGTGGCACAGTCTCTGCTCACTGCGACCTCCACCTCCTGGAGGATTCAAACGATTCTCCTGCCTCAGCCTCCCAAGTAGCTGAGATTACAGGCGCCTGCCATGATGCCTGGCTAATGTTTTGTATTTTTAGTAGAGAAGGGGTTTCACTTTGTTAGCCATACTAGTCTCAAACTCCTGACCTCAAGTGATCTGCCCACCTCGGTCTCCCAAAGTGCTAGGATTTGGAAAAGCCAAGTTTTTTTAAGCCAAGGGAAAGACAAATTTTTTTTAAGGAAAAGAACAAAGTTAGTAGAAATGCATTACTATATGGGAAATTTACTATAAAGGTAGAATAATTAAAACAGTGTAATATTGGAGCAATGACAGGCAAATACACCAAGGGAAGAGGACACAGAGGCCAGAAACAATATGCAAATACAAAATACAGAAGAGCTGTAAATCATTGTGGAAAGGACAGTGCTTTTAATAAATGCACCTGATAAATGCAAGGAAAATACAAACCTTGACTCTTACCTCTTCCCACTCCATAAAACTTTACTAAAGATGAATAGACAATCTAGTAAACACTTAAGATATTGTCTTCACAACTATAGAATAGACAAAGATGTTTTTAATGAGGATAAACAAGCACTAACCATAAAGAATGAATTGTTTAATTAGACATAATTAAATGGAAAACTTCCGTTTCTCAAAGACACTATTAAGAGACTGAAAAACCAAAGCATGTTTGTAGATTATACATTATGTAGTATATAGTATAGGTTATACATAAAAATATATAGTAGTTACACACATATATACATATATATCTGGCAACAAATGAGTGGAATCCAGAATATATCCAGAACTACAAATCAATTTCTAAAAAACAAACATCCCAATAAAATTTGGGGGAAAAGCTGAATATGCACTTCATAGGAGTCATACTCAAATGGCTAATAAGCACATCGAATATACCTGGTCTCTGACTTTACTCCATTTCATGAGAATTTATTTCAGATGATTAGAAGATCTAGAAGAAAACTTAGAATATTATCATCATGAGTGTAAATTAGTTCAGCCATTGTGGAAGACAGTGTGGTGATTCCTCAAGGATCTAGAACCAGAAATACCATCTGACCCAGCAATCCCATCACTGAGTATATACCCAAAGGATTATAAATCATTCGACTATAAAGACACATGCACAAGTATGTTTATTGCAGCACTATTCACAACAGCAAAGACTTGGAACCAACCCAAATGCCCAACAGTGATAGACTGGATAAAGAAAATGTGGCACATATACACCATGAAATACTATGCAGCCATAAAAAAAGAATGACTTCATGTCCTTTGAAGGTACCGGTGTCAGCAAGCTAACACAGGAACAGAAAACCAAACACCACATGTTCTCACTCATAAGTGGGAATTGAACAGTGAGAACACATGGACATAGGGAGGAGAACATCACACAGCCGGGCCTGACAGGGGTCGGGAGGGGGGAGGGGAGGGATAGCATTAGAGAAATACCTAACGTAGCTGACAGGTTGATGGGTGCAGCAAACCACCATGGCATGTGTCTACCTATGTAACAAACCTGCACATTCTGCACATGTATCCCAGAACTTAAAGTACAATAATAATAAAAAAATATGACCATAATGGCATCGGGTGAAGCAAAGATAATTCTTAAAAAAATAAAAAGCACTAGCCATAAATAATACACTGATTAATAAAATTAAGAGAATCTGTTCATCTAAAACACATTATTGAGATCTTGTAAAAGCAAAAAAGATTTATAGAAGATACTAAAATTGTATATGCATTTTTATATATGTACATATATGTCTGTGTGCATGTTTGTATAACTGAAATGCAGAATATATGGAAACTACAAATCCATTTTTAAAATACAAACATCTCAGTAAAAGCTGGGGGAAAATGCCTGAAAAGGAACTTCATAAAAGACATAGTAAATGACCAATAAACAAATAAAATGGTGAAAACAAAACAAAAATAAAAACGATAAATAGCTGGGTGTGGTGGCACTGCAAGCCAGCCTGGGCGACAGACGGAGACCCCGTTTCAAAAGACAAACAAAAATCAATAAATAAAAACAATATTTAAAAAGGTGCTCAAGCTCATTAATCAGCAGAAAAATGCGAGTGTAGACATAAGGAGGGATCACTGCACAGCCATCAGAGTGGCTGGAATGAAAGACTAACTGTACAGCGAGTGCTCGAATGTGGCACAGCTGGAACCTTCGAATATTTCTGGACCCCCATTCCCACACAGACACCTGAGGCTGTGACCGAAAGGTCAGACAGAATCCTGGGAAAGAGTTCCTTCAGAATCGAGATCAACCAACCAAGGAAAAGCACCCCAACCCGGGGCGAGACCGAGTTCCCAAGGTCACGTGGCCTCCCTCATGGCTGACACTCCCTGAGTCCCACCATAGGCTTAGAGAATCCAAGCACCCCATTCGCCCGGGACACCGGGAGAGAGCACCCACAGATAATAATTTTTAAAACCCAGCATCAAGAGAAAGCATCCGGTAAGCATCTACATGGGGATAAGTAGAACCAAAGAAAAGCCGACACATTATAGCTGAGAGCGAGCGACATCCAAGGACAAATGTGCCTCACGGCCGACATCAGCACCCAAGGAAGAGTCCCTCGGGGGTCGAGATAAAGCCCCCAACAGTGACCCCACAGGGCTGCGATCATGCGTCCGAGGCACAGCCACCCCCACCACGTTCCATGAGCAGAGAGAGGATCCCCAAGGCAGAGTCCCCCA